AGCTAAGCGAGGTTTCCAAAGTCCACAATAAAATACGCCGTTCAGAAGTTTGTAAATTATTTGTGTCTTTGACTCGGGGCTGCAAGCATTGTTCAAATCTGAAATATATTARGCAACTGCTTGAGAAGAACCATAAATTGTAAAAAATAAAATAAAAAGGCAGCAAAACCCCACCTCATTCAGTAGTCAGTAACAATTGTAGTTAAATCTGCACACGGTTACCTCAGATCAATGAATACCAAAAAGGGAAAGGTACCTGCTTTGTAAGTCGTTTAGGTGCAATTTGCCTACATAATGGGTGGCTGATGAGACAGTGATGATCCTAGCGTTGTGACTGTGCGTTCCTGATTGCTTCAGCGTATCCAAGAGGAGGTTTGTCAACAGGAAGTGTCCCAAGTAGTTCAAGCCGAAGTGCTCCTCAAACCCATCCACCGTCTTCCTTTCAGGGACCAGCATCACCCCAGCTGGAGGAAAAAGTAGAAGTAAAACCTATTGATATATTTCAGAGGAGCAGCAAGCTAGAAGGAGTACGGATCTCCTGCTGTGGAGGGTAAACAAAGCATTTAAAGCAATGAGTGACTGGTGAGGGTATGTGAAATGTAAAGCTGACACTGATTGATTCCTGACAAGAAAAATGCCCAAGCCCCCAGTTCGGTTCCTTTATCCAGATAACACCCCGATTGACTTCCTCCCTCCCTCCCTGCAGGCTTGAGAGTAAATGAGTTTGTTTGTAAAAAGTGTTTTCATGAGATGGGAGCTGGGCGATCCCAGCTACAATTCCCTCCATCAGAGCTCAGAGCAGTGGACACAAGACCAGGTAAGCATCAGATCTACTCTCCCAGAAAGCTTTCTCCTGAGTCCTGGCTGGAGTTTAAAGCTCTGGTGAGTCTACATCTGAAATCTGCAACTTCTGTCTCACTGGTGTGAGTGAGAAAAGATGTAGTAAATTTACCCAATATATCCTAATTACCATGCTTACAAGCAGCTGCATATTGAAATTAGGCTTTCAATGCTTATTTTGGCAATATTTTTGCATAAATTTCTACAAACCACAATTTTCAAACTCAGTGTCTAAAATAAGTATCCACATCCCCAACACGCAATGTTGATTACAGCATCTTGCAGAGAATTCTGAGCTCGTGCATAAATTGTACAGTATATTGAGGCTGTGTGAGGGATAGCTACCCTGCTCATGTGATAGTGACCCTGCTCAATAATAGCATAGACTTGAATGMTATGTTCTTATTTTACTAAAATTTAATTACTGTGCAAGTGGACATGACCTTTGTCATTTAAACGTAGGTGGACATAACTCATAGAAATCTTGTTATAGGACGCTTCTCTCTAAAACCCATGAACATGATACAGCACACAAGACATGAGAGAGTGTCCTCATGCTACTTCATGTGCCCATTAAAAAGCCTTTAATACCCCATTTCCTGATATTAGCCCGACCTGATGATGGCACATTAAATGAGCATTCTAAATTGCATCTACACCGCTCCTTTGGGAGGTTCTGCCACCTGACAGTCCTGCTTTGTTGCTACTGCTTGGGCCAAAGGGGAGATGTTTTGGGGACCTTTTTTATTATGGCAAACACCCGTAGTGATTCATCTGTGGCTTCCTACTGCTTAATGGAGCAACTGGAGAAGCAGCAGGAGGGGAAGAAACTCAAGAAGACCACAGAGAAAACAAAAGGTCWGAGTGGAACAGAGCATACCTGCAAATGGAGAACTTGAGACTGAACATGAGCCATGCTGACTGGTGGTACAGTGAAATAAACCCAAATCACATGATGAGGCTCCACAAAAGCCCTGATTAGTATCACCCAGTGTCATTTACTGCTGTAAACWGTCTATAATCAGATCTGGGGCAGTGGCCGGGACTGAGAACTGGTGGGAAGGCTCTAGACAGATGCAAATGCAAGATAAGCCCRGTTGTGACTTTTTCTTGTTTTCATAGAAGAAGGAAAGGGTTCAAACAGCAACAAACCCCAAGCTCCCAGACCAGGTTCCAGCCTGCTACAGTGCGAGTTTTAGCACAGACAGTCAGCAGGAGCTGTTGAAGGGTAGATGGAAACGGTGCTGCATCTCTGAGCACCAGGGCTGGTACAAGGAATTGTTTTGCATCTCTCGGAGGCCATCCTGCCCTCCAAAGCTCTGACACRTGGAAAAGCTGAAAGGAAGCAGTTTGCCAGAGGTCTGTTTGCTCARCACTGGTAAAACATAAGCCCAAGAAAGCTAGACAACTTAAAAGAGCCCCAGTACAGCAAGGGTTATGTGCACCCCAAATGCTGCTTCTGCATCTGTTGGGGCTGCTGCAGGGCTCACTACAAGACCCTGAATGCACAGACACACTTCTGTTGGTTGGGTCAGATGGAGGATGAAGGAATTTGTCCTGAGAGAAGCACGTTAGGCAGCTGCTACAGCYGTTCAGCTTTGCATCATGACCAGCAGGCAAGCACAGGGAGGCTGCCATGGCTCACATCAGCCCCGAGGGTGCCTGTGCCACAGCAACTTCACCCTCGACCTCCAGAGAGGCACAGGATTTCAAGAACACACAGAGGCTTTGCCCTCCACCCCAATTAGTCTCCACCATCTGTGCTGCACATSCTGGAAGCAAAAAACAGACCGAGCTCGGGTCAGGAGACAGAAAAAACATTCACTCATGCAATGTACAACTGTAAAGGTACACACTCCCCAAAATTATTTTGCTCTTTCTTCAGGAGCATCCCCTGAGCAGAAATTCTGGTCAAGTCCTTGAGAAAGCACAATCACTTCTGCTTGCATCTAGTGTGACTACAATTCCCTCTTTGTCTTCAAGARCTATTCAAATAATGTTAAGCCAAAACACCTTTGAAATATTTTTTTTTAAAGGCTCTCATCTTTCAGGTGGTTTATATCATGGCTGTCAAAGAAAAAATCTTGCCCTGTAGTTTGAGGGCAGTTTCTCTATTTGAGAAAAGCCACTTTAATTCACTGAAAGTGAGCATACAAAGGAATACCCAACAGGCAACTGAACCTGTCTGCTTCCTTAACAAAAGGGAAAACCGTGTAAGCGTAGCAGCAAGCTCTCTTTTTTAAATTATTAACTACCTAACATTCAGTAGATACYAAAAGTGGCATGCTATTGATTTTCTCTTGTCCAGAAACATCATCAGCTTTCTTTAAGGGATCCAAATGTTAACTCAAAGAAGGAAAGCTGCTTCTATTTTTAATTCTTTGAATTAGTCCAATACTATTGAAATATTAACCAACACTTTGTGTCTTCACTGTAAACTAAGAATGATTTTGCTTATTCCTCTGGTATGAAATCCAAACAACTCAGTATCTTTCTRATTTTAATTATCAATAACTATTGACTTATGATTTTTTCAGAGTGCATGTGAGATTTGAAGTATACAAAGCAGTAATACAAAACACCTCAGTYCTGATACAACCTCCTTAAATGTTTTCCCCTGAGATTTAGCTGGACGGTGTCCCAAAGATTCAGTTTTAAAATGCCACTGATAACATGATGGTGTTAGAAAATGAATTAATAAGTAAACTGAACATAAGCTTTCACTTTGCAAATGATTAGCTGTTACTGAAATATTGTGGCAAAAAGACTGATAGTGTGGCTATAAAATCAGATTTAGCAAAACATGGATGYGTGATTTTGCAGAGGTAGAAATAAATTAAAATAAGGAAAATATTTTTCTGCATAAYTATGTTGAGCAACTGTTGTTATAGYAATACCTTCCAATGTGCTGCAGTTCCGCATTTATTGTAATTTGTTCAAATTATACATATTTTTAATTAGCTATAATGAATAAAAAATTATATCTCTTTTTATTTCTATAACTAGGCAATAAATATATTTCTCACTCAAAGAATGAATACACTTCAAGAGACCTGTCTTTGTAAGCAGGGATTTATAATAGTTTTCTATAAAAGTTTCTAACTAAATTCTTAGTATAAGATCCATCAATGTCTTATGCAATTTTAAGAACAAAATAGATCTAGTACTGCATGCAGCATAACCAARAATTTTATGATAGTTGTAAATATTGCAGGCCAGACATACTGCATTTTTATTGAATTATACAGGAGAATATATAGGAGAAATATAYAGGAGAATTTGCACTTTTCCTGCTTGTCCTGCAGGTAATGACAAATATTACTCTAAYTCCCATACCTCCCACTGCAAAGACATCCTTCATCTCCATTACAAAATGTCTTTTAAGAGCTGTAAAAATACAAGTATTTCACWCATCTGGATTTATTTACAGTGAGCAACTTGGTAGTTTTTGAAGTCAGTTCTCTCAARTTTACTACAAAAGAAGATTTTAAATCTCATTTTCACATGCAGAACAAAATGTCTGCCTTCCCAGCCAGGCTCATGGAAGAGGGTTTGGAGAAAGATTCCCCTCACAYGAGTTCTTTTATCCCCAGAGAGCCAAAGGCTGGGCAAATAACACAATAGGCCAGCCACATACACATAACACCTTCACAACAGGAGGAGAACCTTTATCATCACATTCATCCAGTTCTTGCTATTTACAAGGAAGAGATACACACTGTAMCAAAAATGCTCCCAAGTGAAAAAATTAAGAGACAGTTACTTCCAGTAAAAAGCACGAAGCACAGGCTTTTCATTGTTTAGCTGATGCCTTTAGCAGCATTTTCCATCCCATGAGTGCAGCCACATGAGGCAGCCGACCCCACTCTATGGAATTTGTTTCACACCAAAGCATCTGTGGGTGCATCTACACATAGGACAGCTCAACCCCCGTCTCTCCTGAGCAGAAGACTCATGCAGCAGCATCCCCTGGCCAGGCTGCCTGTGCTGGATGGCCTGTTCCACCTTGTTCAGCTGGACTATTCCATCCCAGAATATGCCTGCCCTGTAGGTCTTTCCTGGCCAGAGAGCAATGAGCAATGCCTTATTGGAAGGATCACCCCCAGAAGTGCTTACTGGAGGCACCAGTGTGCCCATGTGGCTGCTTCTTACAGGTACTGCTTCTCACTGCCTCGCGTGGGCTGCAGAGCAGTGAATTCACAGCACTGCTGGAAAAGCTGTGACTTTTTTAGCTGATTACTGAGACACATCCCTAACCCAGAGTCCAGCGCTTCAGGGATGCCACATGCCTATTGGTATCCCAGGAAATGTTCTGAGTTTTGGCAGGACCACACACAGAAGTGTATGAAAACTGAAATGGTAAAAATCCTAACAGTTTAGAAGAAAAACACAAGAACACAGATGAAATTTGGTGCAGTTTTCCAGTGCTATGGTCTTGCTCCCTGTCTCCCCAGAGGGAGCTGAAACTCGTGCATTTCCTAATGTTTTTTGGGGCTMTTTAAATGGGTAAATGCAATTTTCCAAAGTCAAATGGGAAGAAAACAAAACAAAGCAARAACTTTTACCCCATGGCATAACAGTGACACCTGGATAACACACAGAATCCACACCAATGCATTTGACC